GTTCTGATCATTAATATTATATCATTTCAAGCATAAGGTATAGGAGGCTTGGCTATATTGTGAATATAATAATAAATACACACTTCAGATTTTTGTTTTATTTTAAGTCTCTTATACTGCATTTATTTGATCAAACATATAGTAAAAACTGCAAAATTGTAAAATATTATTGCTATTTAAAATAATATTTAATAATATTTTAAAATGTAATATATTCTGTGATGGTAAAAGCTGAATTTTCAGCAGCCATTATTCCAGCCTTCAGTATCACATGATCCTTCAGAAATCAATCTAAAATGCTGACATTTCCTATTATGAACGTTAAAAAGAGTTTTGTTCCTTTTTTTTGTGGAAACCGTGATCATTTTTATATTCTTTGATGAATAGAAACTTCAAAAGAATTTTATTTAAAACAGAAATCTTTTGTAACAATACAGACATTTTTACTGTGAATTTTGATTAGCTTAATAATGCATCCTTGCTAAAAAAAAAAAATTATTTCTTCAAAAATAAAAATTACTGGCCTTAAACCTTTGAACACTAGTGTATATTAAATATAAATTTGAACTGTAAAAAAAATATTAAGGACACAAACTGCAATTTAAATGTTTGTTATTTTTGCTTCTTGCTTTATAACCCTTTTTTGATTTGGTACCTGAGGTTGGCGGCAGTTGATCATAGTCTTGCGGAGCCTTGAATGGCGTCTTCATGTTGTCCCCGGTTTGTCTCCTCACAGGGGGATTGGGAGCGGAGTTATTTAACTGGTCTATGAAAGTGTCTGTGAATCATACCAATTATCAGATACCAATATAAGCCAAATAAAGCAGTATTTGACATTCATACTACATTAATTGTCACAGATAAGTGGTATCAGCCTCACCAGGGCTGAGCAGGAAGTGATCGTGTCCAGACGAGGGGCGGGCAGGTCTGGGGTACAGTGAGGAGGAGGAGGGTTCTATGAAACTGTTCCTGATGGGGGGAGGAGGAGGAGGCTGGGACGGAGGAAGAGAGTTGAACGGGTCTTCCATTGGAGA